TTTTATATGCAGGGAGTTATGGTTGAAAATTAGACATTATTTATGGACTTTGTTGCAATTTTAACCTATTTAATATATTGCACTTTAATAGGTGAGGTTGTTATGTAATTTATAAAAAGTTCAATAAATGCACATTTAACATTACAAAAATGCACAATATGATGTGTTAACATGCAAAATATTATGATTTAGGGGCTAAAGTGTTTGTGTTTTAAAATTACTACATTTACGTGCAATTGGCGAAATACTATTGTGCACTAGAGTGTCGCTATTTTGAAGTCAATAAAACGAATTTTTGTCTTATATTAGTTCATATTTTCGGACGATTAAGTTAAAATTACTATGTAAAATCAAAATAATTTATACCTATATTAAACATGTATTTAGCATTTTAATATTTATTTATTTATTTTTATATTTTTTTAGTTGAAAATAAATAATATGTGTAATACCAAAATCGATAAAGTGCATACACAAAAGCAAAAATGTGCGTTTAATATATCATTATTGTGCACTCTACTGTACGGATATTTTTTATGTACATTTTAGTTTTGGAAAACTTTAATAATGTGTATTTTAATTAACATTGTTTGTGCATTCATTAAATTATGTATATAATAAAAAAATAGTATTTTATTTTATATTTATTTATATAGTCAAATAGATTTTATACATATAAAATATAAGAATAATAGTTTTTTATATAGTCAATCAATTTTGTTATGTGTTTTTTTTATTTTATTTTTTCTGGTAAAAAAAGCCGAAAGCAAGACCGAAATGAACAAAACTTTTACATATGTGAAAAATTGCACTCTATTATGTGCATTATTAAATGCATTAATGCATTAATGTGCATCTGGTATATCTTTGTTGTTCATTCTAATACTACTAAATTATAGTTANTATTATTTTTGGTTTAAATACATAATATATGTGTATAAAAACATATATACAATAATATTTTTATATATTTTTTTTATAAATTATATATATGATTTATTTATATATATTTGTATAAATTATATATTTAACCATGGACTGAATTGAAATAATAATAAAATGTCTGTAACTTTCAAAAATTACATATAAGACCTTTATATTTATCTAGTTCTCAAAATGAGACCCATAAATTTTTAAAAATTACACATAAGTCCACTTTTAACTATTTGAACTTTCCCTTGCCGCCGCCGCTGCCACCGCCTGGCATCACCGTCGCCGTCGCCGGCGGATATTTGTCGGCTTTTGCCCTCTCAGACGACTCTCTTCGTCCTTGCAACACGTTGTTCAAAGTTTCCATCTCCGGCGACTGAAATTCATCGACTTCCGCCATCCCAGCAGTACGTAGATTTGCCGACCGGCTTGCCGCGACCGCTATATATCCGCCAGGGTGTGGACCGACTCCTGCTGTGCTAAGTCAGAGACCTCCGCCGTACCCTACGCCCTCCCGTTGATCCCGACGCCGTTTCTTTTTTGCCGGCGGAGTTGAGTTCTCCGATTGTCGACGGCGAGCTGTACCCCGGAGCATGTCACTGTGCTGGCGCTGTTATTGTGGAGGTCGATGCCGTCGGCGGGCTCACACCGATGATGTAGCCAGCTACCGCCGTGCCTGTGTGTGTGTGTGTGAGAGAGAGAGAGAGAGAGAGAGAAAGAGAGAGAGAGAGAGAGAGAGAGAGAGAGAGATATTAAATTCTGACAGAAAATGTGTTAGGTGGAGGTTGGATGAATTGATTTATGGTGGGACCCACTGATGTGGTTAATGGTTGGTGGTAAAATGTCCATAATACCCTTAATGAATATATAATTTTGTCTTTTTTTTTTTCAGTCATTAGATTGTTTGATCTGATGGCTGAGATTTATTCTTATTTCTTTCATTGAGCACCATTCTCACCGGAGCGCGACCCTATATATATATATATATATATTTGATTTTGTTACATTGTTAAATATGTTAAGCCTAAAAATGAAACTAGTAATTAGGTTGTATTATCGGTGAATTTTTTTATAGATGTTTTAATTAGAGTATTGAATTTTATAATAGATGATATTAACTCAAAATATTGCATTTAATTTATTTCAAATCGATTAACCATTTATGATTTATGAGCGGAATGGTTTTGGTAAAAATCATGGTGTAGAGTATAAATTATGTAATTGAATATATATTGGCATTATATTTTAGGTAAAACATATTGGCACGATATTCTGTTCCAAATAACATGTTCTGCAATTAATATAGCATTATGATTAAAATATTGAAAAATCTTTGTACAATTAAAAGATTGACTCATTGTTTATTTATATTTTAAAAAATGGGTCGAACACGTATATATTTTTAATCAAATAAACATTATTTTATACATGAATTAATGATACTGGTTCATTGTTGAAATATGCAATCAGTCATATATTTATTTAGTTTAGAATGTAAACGTTTATTTTGTTTATGGAATTATATCATTGAAAATATCGTTGGAATTTTATAAAATCTAATGATAGTCTAATAAATTATTCCCATAATATTAGTTTACACAAAGGATGATCCAACAGTTAGTTGAAATATCCTATCTAACATATACTATTTAGTTTAGAATATAAATGGCACAATTTTCTCTGTTTAATTATATATTGAAAATACTGGTGGGATTTTTAAAATCTGAACATTATTATAATATATTTTTTTATAGTAGTTATTTATAAGAGGTGAAGAAAATTGTAGATGATTTTTATAAGCCCTGAAATGGTATTTTCGAATATATTAAAGTAAATAACAACTCTAAATATTAATCACAATTTAGATTAGAAAATTAAATTCAACTAATATTCAACAATATATTAATGTTTGATGACTGATTTAATACTTTAAAAAATATATTAATTTTCTGAAGCCAAGTGTTTGTATATATTGAATTTAAATTTTCTAAAACAAATCTCGTGTTTGTTTAATTATGTTGTTATCCTAAAGTGATTGGATTCTTAAACTATATACAATCATCAAGTTAATATGAATAATTCTAAGGAGATTTGATTCTTAAACTATATATAATCCTCAAGTTAATTTAAGGAATTTTTATAATATAAAATTATTTCTAAATAATAAAAAAAGATATTTTTTAAGATATATATTGAATGCTACATTTATGATATAAAACGTGTTTGATTAATTATGTCCTTATATAAGGAGATTTGATTCTTAAACTATATAGAATCCTCATATTTTAGGATTATTTTTATAATATAAAATTTGAATGACAAATTTTTACAAAATAGAATCCTCATATTTTAGTTTGATTTCTTAGTGATAATGTATTTTTCAGATTTTGAAGGTCATATCAAAGAACTACAAGACCAAGAAAACAATAACAGGCTTGAACCACTAATTGGTGAATTAATTTGGTTTATTTTTCTGTTAAAAAAATAAAAACATCTATAGAAATTTGTTGATATTGTGTAAAAATTATAGTTTAATTTTGATTCATATTATCGTATGCAATTATTGGTTTAGAGTTTTGTAAGTAAATTTCGTATATAATAAAAGAGATGTTTAATTTGATATGAAAGTGATTTTGAATAAGTGCCAAAAATTACTTAAAATCACATGTCAAATAGGATGTGTAATTGGATATGAAAGTGACTTTGAATATATTTCCAAAAAATTACTAAAAATTAGATCTCCAATTTAAAGAAGTAATTACCCATGTTTTTAGGAAGTAAGTTTAACACAATCTATTTCTCAAAGATTTTTTTGTTTTGTTTTTAATTTAAAACGTGTTCTGGGCGGGATTTCATGAAATTTTTTTAAAAAATAAATTAATAGTAAAAAATATTTTTAGGCTAGAATTTAAAGGTAAATGCTTCGCCCTTTTTTATATTAAATAGATAGATTTAAAAAGTTTCATTAATTTTACAATAAGGTGGATATATTGTATAATATGATTCTATATATTATCCAAGTCTATAGCTTTAAATAAAAGTGATTTTCAAGATTTTAATTTTGTTGTTTTTGGTCAGTATGACAATTTTTGTTACTATCAAACCAACCTAATTTTGTTGATGTTTAAGCCATGTGGACGATTAAGTCTTTCGGTTAGTATGATAGATTTTATAATACTTGATAACTACACTATCTGGTGAAAATTACTGTGATCTTAATACTTGTATTTCAAATATAGATTGACGATATGAAATGGAATTATTTTTTTGTGCATCATATCAATAAATCAAATTTTAAGTGAAAATAAAAATATATTCGTTAGATTTCAGAATAGCTAAATATGCTGTAATCATTTCATGAAATTAGTCAAAATTATAGAGATACAATTTTTTACGCTATTTTAAATAAAGCTATGAATTTACTTCACATTATGGTATTTCAATTTTTTACATTATTTTAAATAAAGTTATTATATTATATTTTAAATACCATTAATGAGACTTACACAATTGTAATGTTAGATTGTAATTTAGAAGCGAAGCGAAGTTCAATCAAAGAGCTCAAAAGGAGGGGAAGAAGGAGTAGTTGGCATAGCGAATTAATAAATAGTGAATTTTTCTTACAAATATGATATCTCACCTTTTTTAAAAAAATGTGAAATAACAAATATTATTATTAATAGAGATGATACAAATGTAATGATTGTCGTTTATGTGTTATAAAAATAATCAAATATTGATTAATTGTAATTGTTAGTTAGAAATATGTGAGTTGATTAATCACTATGTCACAATATATAATAATAACAATTACTTTTTTGTTATAGATTTTAGATTAAACTACTTAATAATAATTTTTTAGGAAAACTACACTTAACCCACCTAAACTATAGGATTTTTTGCACTTTACTCACTCAACTTTTTTTGTGACACTTTGCCCATATAACATTCTAAAAAATTGCACTTAACCAATTTTTGGTCACCGTTTGGCCATTTCTATGGACAAAGTGTAATTAAAAAAAATAGTTGAGTGGGTAAAGTGCACATAAACGTATAGGTGGGTTGGGTAAAGTGTAATTTTTTAAATTACAATTAACTGGATGAATGATTGAAAAGTCAATTTTGTCCTCAGAAATTTCTGACGATGACCGGAAATTAGTTAAGTGCAATTATTCGCAAAGTTGTATGGACAAATTGTCACAAAAAAAAGTTGAATGAGTAAAGTGCAAAAAACCTTATAGTTAGGTGAGTTAATTGTAGTTTTCCCTAATTTTTTATCCTATATTTATCTACTTACAATCCCGTTTCTTATGGACAACTAAATAAATCATGTACTATTTTATCTTGATAAATAAGTAATGTTTATCCCTATAATTTTGCAAACAATTTTTTTTTTCCAATAAAAAATATTCTCCATGATTTTTTACGTGAATATCCGTAATTAACTGTGCATATAAATTTGTCACTTAAATTCAACCGCACAAAAAATTAGCTTGGGCGGGATTTAACAAAAAAATTCAAAAAATCATTCCATTAATGGTATAAAACGAAAAAATGAGCGGAAAAATGACGTACTATTTTTGTATTTTTTTCTTATCTGTATTATATAGTAATAGATTAAGTGTCAATTATAGTATTTGCTAAAAATTTTTAACTTTACCATAACTTATTTAGGAATCATAATAGTATATTGTCATAAGGTATGAATAAAAGGGGAGAGAGAGAGAGAGTATTTTTTTTATAAAGTTTGAATATGTTAAATTTTCATGTTCTTTAGTTTTAAATAGAAACTCTAATGATGAAATAAACATAATATATCATAAAAATAATATTAACATGTAAAATTATTTTTATACTAACCTTTTTCTTTAATTTTTTTGACGGAACGATAGAAATATTATAATTCAAAACGCACAAATGTGCAAAGTACAACCCAAGGCTGAATAATACAGCCAATGGCTGAAAAAGTGGGAGGACAGGTCAGAGACCGCCTAGAACCGCAGCTAGCCAAGCTAGAAACTAAAAACAAGACTCAAAAACGACCAACACTACAACACAAATAAAGAAACACTAAGCTCCCCACGGGAGAATATGGTACGCTCCCCAGGGGAGAATATGGAATGCTCCCCACAGGAGAAGACCCGAACACGGTCGGACACACACAATACAGGGGCCAACTGCCCAAACCAAAAACACAATACAACAATACAGGGGCCAACGGCCCAAACCAAAAATACCTAACGAGAACACAACACAGACTCAAGCAACACAGACAAGAAACTAAATAAAAATGGGCATGCCCTTCTCCAGCCAACCAGACGAATCAGAACCAGCAGAGAACCAATCGAATCCAAGAGAGATCCCAAGCCCGAGGCACAACTCCCGAAACTGCGAAGACGCCTATACAGAAGCCGACCTAGACTCCGGACCTGACCCAAACCGACCCACCTCCAACCGAAAAACCACAGACCAGCTCCCCACATCGGCACATCCCAGACCCGCCTAACACCACTAGCCAGGCTTAGGAGATCCGAATTCCCGACGTTCCCAACACCAGAGAACTAGCGGGTAGCGAGCTGCGCGGTCCCCTACTCC